TGATATCATAATTTTAGAATACATCATGCTTAGATGCAGTTGTCCTTTCACTCCCAATGAGCACTGCTTATTTCAATTAGCTGTGGTTTTACAAGTTATTTTACAAAGCATATTCTGTTCCTTAACCTCCTCAGGAGAATAATCACAAAGAAAAACAGCTTGATATTTGTATAAACACATAAGTGAAATTGACTGTCAAGTGATTTTTATCTTTTCCTCTCCTTCAACTGCCTCCTTGAAACTACTTACTTTTTACAACTTTAAGCTACGAGACCATCTCTAATAATCTGTCTTAATTTCCTACATGTGTATTACTGTCCTTTGAGTCACATTCACATCCAAATGTGGAAAAGCTCTTGAAAGGAGAGATCCTGTGGAAAACATCCACATAGCTTAAAAAAAAATAAAATTGAAAACAATACATACGTATTCTTATCAATTTATAACTTAAAAAGTAATATGGATTTGTAGCACTACCCCAAGATTTTGTATTCCATGAAAAAGTATCCTTTCTATCATCTGCTTCGTTATCTTTGAAAAGGTTTATAGCTATTACTCTCAGAACAATAGTATAAAATCCAAAAGATAAGATTCTCTCTTTCTATGAAAAAAGACAAGGATTGGAGCTGAGGTAAGAAAGAGCCGCCCTGCGATGGGAGCCCATCGGGATCCTTACATCTCACAGCACTGCATATGCTCAGAGCCTCCCCTATTCGTGCCGAATTCCTGTACCACACAACACTTTCAGCGGTGTCATGTAGGGAAGCTGTAGAGTAACTCAGGGTCTTTCCCAATAAAGAAACAAACAGTGAAGAGGATAATTGGTGAGGAGGAAAGTGATCTAAAGATGCAATGAAAGCACAGAGAAAGAAGAAACAAAATTACGCTTCAGAAGAAGAAAGAAAAAGGCCGAGGATTGTAGACAACGGTAAAAGGTATGCAAATGCAGGTAATGGGGACCCACAAGAAAATGGGGACAGATGAAATGGTCTGGGTTCATTAGAGTGAAGTCTGAGTCAGAATTAGGCATGAGGAACAATGCAGGAAGATCACGCAGTTGCTTTTCTCTACTGAAGACAAAATTAAAGCAAAGCGCAAAATCCACGGACAATCCAAACCACTTGGAGACAAGCTTCTTTATAGACTGCTTTAATGACAAAGGGTTTTTAGCCCCAATCCACAGTGGCAAAACAATATGTACTAAAAACAAAAGGATGATGATCAGTGTTGACAATATTTAACATCACAGACGAGAAGCGCAGTTGCTCAGGGTAAGTGCTATGTGCTTCAATTCCAAGTACTTAAAGAACAAATTTGTCTACCATATTTTAATTTTTCTAACTCTGATTTTAATTAGTGTACATTGCTGTTTGATTCACAATTAGAGGATGAACCAGCACTATTTGACCAATTGACGTAAAATTCTGAAAATCCAAGGGAATCTGCAAAACTAACACCTGAGCGTGAGGCACAGATATAATACAAAAAAAACTTAGGAATGCATAATGAAGGCATAACATTAGAATTCCAAAACTGAAAAACAGAACCAGAACAACAGCATGAAATGTAAACAATTTTGGAATCATCTACAACAAAGTTCATCACACTCATGTGTTAAAAGGAATCTCTATTCTTAGATTTAGATCCCTCCTACAGCTATATTGAGCGTATAGATGGAAAGAAAAGTCAAGAGGCCTCTACTACCCCAACACACTGAAAAGAGCAGAAACGGAGACACAGCAGCACGGTGCTGCAGCCCTCGAGCAGGACTGTGCTGCAGGCACACCAGGACCTCCCATACCCCAGACATGCTGCAGTCAGCAGGATGTCACACCCTGGGACACATGCAATGTCTTTTCCAAACAGTACCAAAGCCAGATTCATTTCACCGCTTCCATCCTACTCAGCCAGCCTGATTCCTTCTCTCTGCTCTGCCCTACCCTCACCCCCCACATCCTGGTTAGACTTCACCTTATCATTCTTGGCAGAGCATAATTTTCCTTCTGGCTGGTGCTGTGGTGTGGGACCCACAGCAGTGGAGACATCTTTGGCTTTGCTCTGTGGTTGTGAGTTACATAACACTGTGATACTCCCAAGTAGATGTTGCTTGACAGAACAGCTCATGTGCTGGCAATAGCTGGATGTTCCAGAACAAGAACCATGTTGAAAAATCAGTGGTGCAATTCTGTGTGCAGACATACCTTTGTATGGGGCAAAACTGGGCAACCAGAAAACTGATTAAATATTGCAGCTCTATGTCATAAAAGTTTGTGGATAAATAACAAGATAAGGATTCAGTCCTTAATGAAAAGGCAGGAATAATACATAACGAAGATGAAGAACATGTTTCCTTAGTTTTCCTTGACATCAACATTAGCCCAGACTACTTCTTGCTTTGTTAGAATGGAGCAAAACGTAATTAAAGTTTTAATTAGAATTGATCGCAGTCCACAAACATGAAATGTATTGTGCTGTTCGAACACCGTACTGGAAGATCTCTCAAGTAAACTGATGTTCTTGAATGAACTACGTTCTTTAAAAAGGAAAGGCATTCTGTCAAGCAATAGGGTAGTAGTGAAAACTAATGACTCTGAAAATGTGTCACAGAAACAAATACTAGTAAGCATGTGTTCTGAAAGGGCCAGTGATTATGTATTTTACAAAGACTGAGCTTCCTCACACTTATTTTCCTCTGCGATTAATCTGTTCCATATCATATTCCAGTTATAAAATAGGTACAGCTTTTTATTCTTCATAAAGAGGCAGTGATACCTCTGAGATCTACTTTCCAATGCACGAAGGAAGAGAATGCCTATCCACTAGTAACAAAATATTACTAAAAATATTTTGCCATCAGAATTGCTGGGAGAAGTACCGGTATCTCTTAAACCCATCTGTTACATTAACATCTTCTGTACAAGAACACGGAATTTATTCATACATTTGGCCTTTTGGTAATTGGTCAAGCCTCTAATGTCCAACTAATTACCTATCAATTTTAATGAAAAAGGCTGCTGTTTTCATCACCCCGTTATCTGCAAGTTTCCTTGTCAGCCGAAAAACCCGGTGGTGCAGTTAACCCCCCCCCTCCCTTCCCGGTCTTGCTGCACCGCTCCGGGCGGTGCGGGATTTCGGAGCGCAGTACCTTCGCAGCGGCGGGAGCTCCGCACGGACCGGTTCGAGCTGCCCCCCGCCCGAGAAAGGCGGAGAACCCCGTCCCACCTCCGCACAGCCCCTAACAGGCTCCTCCAGGGGCGAGAAAGTGGGGGATCTACAGTTGCGTAAGATCAGCCCCTCCCTCCCGCTCCTCTCCCAATCTCCGACGGTTTATCCGCACGCTGGAGGCCGGAGCAAACACCCCGGGCGGGGGCAAGTCAAGGAGGTGCCGAGACGTGGAAACAACCATCAGAGGAAAGGCTCATGGCATTGAGGACAGGATGGAGAGTTGAAGGGGGGGGGGAACCTTGCAGGTGGATTCATGCAGGGAGGGGACCAGGGTTGGGAGGAGAGGGGCGTTCCCTGGTGGGGGCAGTGGGGATAGCGGGGGACTCCGGGGGGTGGGGACACCCCTGGGCGGGCAGGGGAAGCCTCGTACCGGCGGAGCCGGCGGCACGGGCAGCCCTGCGGAGGGCAGCGAGCGGCGGGGCACGGCGGGGCTCGCGCTGCGCGGGGACCGAGATGTCGAGGAGGGCGGCAGTGCCGGGGGTCCCTTCCAGCAGCCCCCTCTGGAGCCGGCGGCGGGGACACCGCAGAGCCCCCATGTCCCGGCGCGGCACCCCGGGTGCAGGGACAGCGTCCCCACCGCACTCCCGCCGCACCGCGCCGTCGGGATCCGGCCCTTCCCGGCGGGGGTTGGAAGAGGAAGGAGTAGAAGCCCTCGAGGCACTGGGCAGGCGTTCCTCCCCTTGCCCCACACACAGAGCACGTCTCGCCGGGGGCGAGCAGCTCATCTCCAAGCGATGCCGGCGCGCAAAGTTGCGCCGGCCGGGCAGCCCCCGCCCCAGTTCCCTCCCTCCGCGGCCGCGCACATCCCACAGAGCCCCCGCACTTCGCTCCGCTCAGGTCAGCAGGGAAAACGCCTCCCTCGCTTTCCGCCCCGGCTGCTCACGATCTGCCTCAACCTGCTCCTCCTTTTGTTTTGATCTTTGGAAATGAAATTCTCTCTCCTGCCGTCTCCTTTCCCTCCTCCTTCTCACGCCTTCGTGTCGGAGATGCCCGGGATCGCACACCAGCTTTTGTTATCTCCTCCCACCTCCATCTTCACTCCGACTGATGCCCTAGTAAATAGCAGGAGCGCGGCACCTCCGCCCCTCACCTACCCCGCGCCCACCTGCAGACACACCTCGCGTGTTAAATATATTAAATGATAAAATAAAAACACCCCTCACAGGCAGTAAGAAAAGCGACAGAGCGATCCCATGGATCGGGAGCACTTCTGCCTAGTCTAAGGTGTGATGACCTTGCGAGGGCTGCTCTGGCGGTTGGTTTCCCATGATCTTTTTTTCCCTATTTTTCTTTTTATTTCCCTACTGGGGAAAAAAAAAATCACGCCCTTTTTCGCTATCGCTTTTCAAACCAACACGAACGCCAAAGACTCCCACTTCCATCAAAGCGTTTCCAAGTGCAAATTGTTACGCGACAGCTCAGCTCTCCCTTTTGATGCTGTCGGTGTTTATATCCGGATCGGTGCGGGATTCGGTCCCTTCTCTCTCAACATGTTCGCGGCAAAAATCGCCGCGGGTGCGATTTTCCTCCATCTCGCCACTGGAACAACAACTCCCGCACACGGAGCACACGAGCACCCGACCAAGTTTCCCGGCGAGGATGATCCCCGAGCGCCTGAGGAGCGCTGAGGCCGCGCAGTCTCCCCGGGAGGAGCAACCCCGCGCAGGGCACCCTGACCCGCCACCGGCACCGGGGCAGCGCGGGCGGGTGCGGAGCCCGGATCCCCCCCGCCCCCCAGCCCTCCCGCTCTCCCCGGCTGATCTCCCCGCACTTACAGCGGGCGCGGGGTGTCGGGCGGTGCGGAGGGAGGGCGCTGGCCCGCGGGGTCCCGCCGGGGTGCTGGGGCCGGAGGGACACGCGGCGCCGCCTGTGGGTGCGCGCCCGCCGCCGCTCGCGCCGCAGCTCCCGGTGCGCGCCCCCGCCCCGCCCCGCGCGCCGCCCGCCGCCGCCCCGCACTGCAGGACCGCCGCCCCGCGCGCCGCCCCGCGCGCCCGAGCATGCGCGCGGGGGGAGGGCGGGAGGAAGGGATGAGGGAAGCCCCCGGGGCGGCGGGAATGAGGGCGCCGGGAACCCGCGGGAAGTGCGGGGAAAGGGGGCTGGTGCCCCTGCGGGGGTCGGGGCTGCCCCTGCCGTCGCCTGGGCGCCGCTCGCAGCGAAGCTCCTGCTGCCCGGCGCGGTCCGTGCGGTGCCCGGCGGGCAGCGCTTCACCCGCGGTTCCTTCGCTCCGCATGTGGGGACTGCCCCGGCAGTGCGGGCGGCACGGGGTGGTCACAGAATCGCGGAATCAATCAAGTTGGAAAAGACCTCCGAGATCATCGAGTCCAACCTGTGACCCAGCACCACCATGCCAGCTAGACTATGGCACCATGTGCCGCGTCCAGTCTTTCCTTAAACACCTCCAGGGGCGGTGACTCCGCTACCTCCCTGGGCAGCCCGTTCCAATGTCTAATCAGCCTTTCTGTGAAGAATTTCTTCCTGATGTCCAACTTAAACCTCCCCTGGCGCAGTTTAACGCTGTGTCCCCTTACCCTGGTTGCCTGAGAGAGGCGCCGATCCCCATCTGGCCACAACCTCCTTTCAGGTACGAGGTGATGGCACTGGTGTCCCGTGCGTGGAGCCGCCTGTAGCTGTCACACGTGTGTAGGCATCATCTTCCACACTTCCACTGTGGCTCCTGTCCACAAGCTTCTTGTACTATCATGGAAGTTAATGTTAGAAAGTTTAGCTTTATAACATTGTTCAGCCCTTCGATGTAAAATTCAACTGATCTTGCCCTTCAGTACAAACCCTGACTGATACTGCCTTGCCCTTGCTGTTCTCCCCATCACTGTAGTAGCTGCTATTGAGGTAGGTGTAAAAGATCAGGACTCCTTCATTAGACACTGCACAGCATGTAAGTAATTGTAGGCCCCTTCTGAGGCGAAGACATACATCAATGTTTACTTTCATGCATGGCAAGTTCTGTCACTAACTGTTTATATAAATTAAGCATATTTAGCATGTCCTAAGCACAACACTAGAGAAAGCAGATAGATGCAACAAGATGGTGAAAGGAAGGCAAACAATGACATATAAAAATTACACCATGCCTGTTTTTAACTAGCTACTCATTATTTGAGAAAAAAAAGATAAAGGCATGAAGATTGTGTAATATGTGATACATGGAAATAATTCTTGGTTTATTGTTGAAATGCCTAAAAAATTCAGTTATAACACAATATGATGTGTACAAATGTACAGGAAGGGACAGTATTCGCAGTTTACTAATGTAGATAATTGAATTCATAAGTTATCTTTTTGTGATATAGCCACAAGTAACCAATGTTACACCCAGAATTACATTTTGAGTATAAGACAATAATTTTATAACTTTATGTTTGTGTTTTTTCTTATTTCCCAGTGCACCTCTCTTCTGTAGTTCATGTTTTGATTTTCTAGATGTGCAAAAATGCAGCCTGAAAATGCTAAAAATTTAGGTTTATTACAGGCATAGCAAAAACAAACACTTAGGAGGTGGTACACTTCACTGGGTGTCTCTGAGATTCATGTTTTCTTCATTCTGATTAATTTAAAATATTTTCTGTCATCTTCATATTTTGCTACCTCATTGCTTGCTTGGCCTGCCAGATCATTAATAATCATCTCTAGCATAATGAAAGCTAGAATGCTGTAGCATCTGCTTCTAAGTTTTAACCACATTTTCCCCTCATATTTTCTGTCTCTTGTTCAGTTCTTTATAAGTTTGTCTTTTACCATCACAGTGCAACATTAATTCTGTGTGACCTATTTTGACTGTGTCCATATTGTAGTTACTGCATGACTTCATCTCATCTTCATAACTCTTCTAGTGGCAGCAGTGTAGCTATGGGAGTGCAGAGCTCTGTTTTGACTCTAAACCCAGCTTTTTACTTGGTGTCTCAGTTGGAGTTTGCTGCCATTTTTTTCTTCCACAGGTACCAAGGTAGAAATATCTCCGGCAGCTGACTGAAAACTAGCTTAGGGTTAGTTCTCTGCTGGGTGACTGTCACTTAGACATGCTGTAATTTTCTGAATCATTGGTGGTCATTCTTCGCCAGAAGGTGCTGAACAATTGCGTACCCTCAAAAAGCAAAACTTAGAGATTGAATTTAAAAAAAAATTCACATTTAAATAGGACTTTTCATATGTCATAATATTTTTTCACCTAATTTGGTGGCCAAATTCCAATCTGCTACAGCAAAAGTGTAGATTAAGCAGAAGATACTATGTAGCGTGTTTTCATGTAAGACTTCCCTGTCTACATTTAGATAATTTTGTATAAAATCAGGTTACTTACTTACTGTCTTTTCAAATGCATTTGAAAACATGATGTTCATTTGAAAAAAGAGGTACTCTACAGTATTATTTTAGAAAACTGGCTTATTTTTTCATGTATGTCACAGAAACAATGCAATATAAAATCCCATTTAAAAAGTAAATATACATACAAAACCTCTCCACTCATATTATTACTGCTCAGTCCAAAATGCCCATGAAGAAGCTTCCTTTTGCTGTAAATCAACAACTGAATAAGTTCTATGCACGGGATTATCATTAGAAAGGTAATAATGACATTATCAATGAGTGTGCGATTATGACACGTCTTACACTGTGCTGTTCTACACTGTAGGCAGTTACTGAAGGCTTTTGTAAGTTGCGTGTAAAAGTTTACCAGTTCAGATCATTGGCATTTTACATTCATTTGTAATCTATGCAAATGATGTTGTATTTTAGACTGTGGAGAATTACATCCGCTGCACTGGCTTCTCAAGATATATAATAGTAGAATTTTTCATTTTCTTGCTATGCAGTTCTTTGGATTTTACAAATTGAATTGTTGCCATTTAGCAACTTCAGATGGCTTTTGAACCTAAATAACATGGTGCTCATAATGGAACTACAACAATTCAAAGAAAGTCATGATCAAAGTTTAAATCTATTTAGAGTATTTTTTTTAATTTTAACATCAGAATGAACAGTGTAAATATAGGAATTCTTAGCTTATGAATGAATAGCAAAAAAATGTAGGTACCTGCTTCTTTTACAGTCTTCCATGGCTTACATGGGTCTCTAGGCTTTGAATCTCCTAAACATTCTGCTTATGCCTTTGAAAGAAGCCAAGTGATGCCCTAAGCGTCTGATCTTGTCAAGGAAGATAGATAGGCATCTCCAGAGGGAAATTTAAAATCTAATGAAATCGAGGATCCTCTTCTCCTTTTTTCTCTCCCTTCTTTGCTCCAGAATAGACAATTCAATATTAAAAGACATAGTAGTCTCTGAAAGAACTCACTATCTCAGCAGGTGGCTTACTGGTAATGAGATTTTTTTTTTTTTAATTTAACATGTTCTCCTGTTTTGCAGACACCAATTTAAATGCAGAACACCATTTAAGGGTTTGCATTTTCCCCTCTCCCTTTTATGCTTAATACTTGCTAAGAATATATTCGCGTATATACTTTATGAGGGTCAACAGCAGAAAAAATTAAAACAACAAGGAATTTGAGCCTATATCTACATCTCTAGATGTGTGCTTTACGTTCTGCCAGACCCTTTGAAGGAACAATTTCCTTTCTCCCTTCTGTGTTCCCTTAATGCAGTTTCTGCACGCTGAGATGTACTTGTCTATTAGGTGGGGAGCTGAAAGCAGCAATGCGGCTGCAAGGATTGGCAGAAGGGAGCTGCTTCAAGGCTCTGTGATTAAATGAAGCTGCTGCAACACACTGCAGTTGGAAAAGGGTGAGATTCTGGATACTCAACAACAAACAATGAGTGTAACTGAGATTATCAGTTTCAAAATGACTATAGATTGTTTTGCTTCTTTAATGTGCTGTATATAATTATATGAAAATGACATTTTTATATATGTATTATCTTTCACTTTCATCTCTCATTCGTTTTTTAAATAATGCCCATAAGAATATAGATAAAACAAAATGTACTTACTTTACCAATAAATCCAATTTTTCTTCTTTATGAAATATAATGATTTCATGTTTGCAGATCACCTTTGAATGTGTCAAACCAGATAATAATTCAGTCTTTTTATAAATGACACTGTTTATTAGTCTTCAATTTCTCAGGCTCATGGAATGAAATGCAAAGAAAATAGCATTTATGTAACATCATCTCCAATGTTGTATAATACAGTCACAACTGGGGTGCGTGTGCAATGCTTAACTTTAGATCCCTACATCTGATAGCTACATACTTGCCTATTCACTTGCATTGCCTCTTGTGTCAATGCAAATACAAAGATGCTGTGATAGGGTGATTCAGGCTGGGAACTTGGCTAGCAAGAGTCAAGAAAAGATGTATTTAAGTTTAGACACCTAAATGAAATGTCCAAAGCTAAATGGCATGAGCCCAAGTTTCACTCCAGCAGGCTGCTTCCCACAGAAGCTGTTCCAGTTGTTCGTCTTAAGTGAGGCATTTGCTCAAGCGGAAATAAAAGGTTAGCATTTTGGACCTGAGAAATATAACTCTCAAGTAAATAATGGGTGTTTAGAAGGATAGGAATGACAAAACTTAGAAGCATTTCATTTTCTACAAATGTCCTAAACATAGCATCATGCTTTCCTCTGCCATTTAGCTCAAGGCAGAACTCTTACATATACAAAATAATTCTTGTGAAGTCACGATGGTCATGTGCTCTTGAGATGTTCCAACAGGGCTTCTTTTGCTTATTTGATCTGCGAGTGATTGGTCTTTGCTAAAATATTGTAATGGTGACATGTAAAAATTGGAATGCAGCTGTAGAAATAATAGCAAGTAATGAAATAAAAATAGAGGAAAAGGCCACAAATTGCAGCTAGGTTATCAGATTTATTAATAATTAAATGCTTGGGTTTACCAACGCACATCAAAACAAACAA